TGTTTTGTTTTTTTTATGTTTTTGGGGGTTTTTTTTATTTTTTATTCAGGAGAGGAGCATAGTAGTAAATGATTATTACATGAAACTCTTTTAGCAGAGACAGTGAAGAAGAAAAAAAAAGGAAGGCAGATAAAAAACAAATATAACAGCAATAAAAACTATACAAGTAAAATTTAAAAAAATACAGAATAATCAAATAGTGAAGAGATGCTAACAAAAAAAAGGCGACAGTCCGTCTACATTTTAGTAACCGATAATACCAATACAGTTGCCAAGGTAACAGTATCCTCTGCGTTCAGTCAAGTCTCTGACGACAATATCATTGTTAGTGTGGTATCGGTAGCATCATTATCAGCGCCATTCTTGCCACTACCAACTCCCCCACCACCCTCACTTCCTCCTCCTCCAGCTTTTGATGCTGCCGCTGCTTTGTACAAGTCTGCAACAAGCAGGCATTAGAGAAATCAGCAGGAACGATGCCAAATTGTCGCAGAGCATTTTGGATCAACTTGATTAAATGCCAGCAATGTGTCTCAGTAACTCGATGAAAATCCTTTGCCTTCCTCTGGTCACAATGGCGGCACTTCTTTAAAATCTTCATAATAATTACAGAACAGCTTTTCTCTTTCCAGCAGATGGACTTCTATCCGATTCCTTGATAATAAGTTTGTCAGAAACGAATATACAGAGATAAAAGTAACATTGTGTGACAACTTAGAGACATCAAACCAAGGTTCTTCTCACTGGCAGGGTAAGGGAAGACTAGACAATGGTTGTGGGGGGGGGGGGTCGTCAGTCACCAACAAAACAAGGTAGTTCGTCAAAGCTCATGATAGAAAAACATGAACTACACACACACACACATTATATATATATATATATATATATATATATATATATATATAATCATGTATTTTGGCAGCAATACCTCTTTTATAAAAGTTTCATTAAAAATGACTAACAAGTTACTACAGTTAAGGTTTTATTTAATTTTTCTTGTGTTCTTAAATTTTGTTTTTCTTTTCTGGACATAAATTATGTACAAATTGTCTAAATGTTCTGTTTGTCCAAGCGCTTTTGGCTATACTTTTAGCCATTATCAAGGATGATTTGTTTTTTTTTTTAATGCATCTAGTGTTGCAGGAATGTTGTATTTTCCAAACACAGTCAGACAGGAGGATGCTGAAAAGTTGAGTTCCCAAAATCTGACCAATGAACAATTTTTGATCTAGTCAAGAAATTTTCAGCATCTAAAGTTGAGATTTATGACAAGTCACCCAACACTGAAAAACAGTCATCCCCCCCCCAGTTGTATTTCCAAAGGTGAGTGTGTTTCTTGGTATCTTTGCCTCATGAGGATTTAAGGAAAGATAAATGTCTTTTGTCTTTATAAAAAGGCTCACCAAAGCCGATTCTGTAAATAAATATAGAAAGGCTTCTTTGATAATGTCTCCTCCTATGTAGTAGTAATAGTAGTAGTAGAAAGGTTTGAACGGGTTTTCATGTAAAGACTTGGTCAGAATTGTTAATCCACTATGCGATAGTATTGAGTAATAGCATTCATTTGTATACTATGTCCGAGTTACATATAACAGAGCATTCAGGAATCCATGGAATTTCCGCCAAAAGAACAAGAGTTGAGTAAAGAGTACCATGAAACATTGAAGCAATCAGTGTATCTTCAGAATAATATCGAAAAAAAAAAAACTGAATTGTGATAAAGAAACAGCTTTTTAAGCTTTTGTTTATTCCCAAAATTGAAAGAGGCATTCAAAGATGAATATTTTTCATCCAATTTCACCACTTGCTTTATGCAATTGGATCAAAAGTAAACCAGAAACTTTCTTCTTGAACAGAATAAAAAGGTGAATAGAATATTTGAAAAAAAAATGTGTAGTAATAAATGGTGATTTATGTTGAAAAATAATATTGTAATTTGAAAAAAGAAATAAATTTACTTCATTTTGTGGTGCCAGTTTCATTCTTCTATCTGGTCTAAAACATGTTTTATAACATTGGAGATCTTACTTATCAATCTTGTATTTAGCTTATAAGCAATTTGGTTTTATGGCATTTCTAACATTATTTACATATTAAAAGAAAATGTGGTGAAATAAACTAAAGCAAACATTGATAATATTTATAATTGAAAGAAAAATTAATTTAGAATTTCTGCATTTGCAAAGGCAGGTGTAAATTCACACAAGAATGCAAATGATATCAATTCATGAAGCAGGTTTTGAATTCAGGATTATTCTTCTTCTAGACTGGTTCACCAAACAAGGTTAAAAGAGCCAAGTTTGCCTTACTATTTCAGCCATAGCTGAGGAGGGGCAATAGATGGATGCATGCCTTTACCAAGGCTATTAGTGTAAAGTAAATGCACATCAATATTTCTACCTCATGTTTTACTCATAGATAATAAGAAATTCTAATAAAGAAAGTAAAGAAGGAAATTACCCCATTTTATGCATACCCAACATATAAATTGTTAGTGATTTAGTATGAATCGTAGATATTCAAAATAAGGTTTTGTGTCAGCCAAAAATGAAGTTAACCATAGTCAGGGACATCGAGTCAATGTGAATGCTCCTTTCCTTAGCTGCATAGTATATGCTTCACCAGAGCTACATACAGTTTTGAATTCAGAGGGTTTTTTTTTTCATTCTTCTAGACCAATTGCTACTCAAGGTTATAGAACCCATTCTGTCTTGGGGGGGGGGAAGAGATGGCTTCATACCTTTCCCAAAGGTATTAGTACGTGAGTAAATGTAATGAATTCAACTGGAATTTGAACTTGGTTCTCCGATTCCTCAATTCGAGCTACAATACATTATTCTAGCATGTCAAAAGCCAAAGTCTAGTATATTAAATATTTTCTATTTAGATATAGCTAGTGTGGATGCAAAGTTTACTTAGTTTTGTATATAAAGTGATGGAATTAGTTTATCATGGTCAATATTATCAAATTCATAAAATATGATAAAAGTAAACATGGATAATGGCCCATGCAAAAATCAAGATGTCAACCAACCAGAAAGATATGGCCAACCAAATGACTGTTTTAAAATTTTAAAAGGAAACCAACCTCATTTTGCACACACACACACACACACACATATATAGCTATCAAGTGCACCAAACTTTAGCAGTCATTAAAATACCTTTTTAGTAAGAGAACGCTAACCTACTCAACTACAAGCCAACTGCAGTGAGTTAATATACTGACAATTACAACAGCATTTTCAGCATCCGAGAACAAAATCTGCAGAAACACACAATGACTTGGTTCTCTGCAAACACATCTTCAGTATATGACTGCAAATCAGCAACCTAATCAAGAAGAAATACTGAACAAATCTGGTTTTAAACCTTTGTGAATTGAATTCAACTTTAAACCAAGTCATGTTAGTTTCATAGTTATCATTTTTAGACTGGACCAATAATAAAAGCCTCTCTGCATGAGTAACTCTTAAAAATTCAAACTGCTGGAAAAAAAAAAAAAAAAAAGACTATATTCTTCTTTCACTAAATTATTATACATTTCAATTTTGACAACAAACCTTGTTTTATAGGATTGATGACCTTATTAATCAACCTTCATAATTTGGAAGAGAAATAAATTTACTTCCTTTTTTTTTTTTATATATATATATATATATACCAGTCTTATTCTTCTATTTGGTCTGAAATTTGTTTCTATAGAATTAAAAACCATCCTTATCAACGAAGCCTCATAAAGGAAGAGCCCAGCAATGTACAGTGTTACATCTCACTTTGGAAATGGGAAACAATTATTATCATCTGATAAAGACTTAAAAAATCTAGTTTAACAATTAAAAGTACATCAGATCTGATGAGAGTTTCTTTAGCAAAGGGCAACGCAGGTTTGAATCCTGTTGGGAGGGCACATATTTTTCTTTAATAAGATCACAGAATATGCAGATTGGTAGATGAAAATAAATGCTGTTTAAAAAAATGGAACATATACTCAAATATTGGTTAACATTAAAAACAATGTTTAAATTGAGATATATATAATAATAATATTGGAAATTATTAGGAGGATTTTAAAAATAATCATAATTAATTCATTGAGTCTAGAAGAATCCTCAACAGGATGCAGAAAGCACTGGACAGCTCTTTTGTTATATATATATATATATATATATATAGGTGGAGTAATGGATAATGGCTTGGATTGAAGAATCGGAGAGCCAAGTTTGAATTCCAGTTGAATCCATTACATTCCCTTAATACTAATAGTCTTGGGAAAGGTATGAATCCTCTTCTCCTTCCAGCTATGGGTAAATAGCAGGACAGACTATAGCCTTGGATACCAACTGGTCTAGGAGAAGAACAACTCTGAATTCAAAACCTGCGGTGGGTTGTTTGGGAACCTTGTGGCTCGTAGTGCACCAGGTCTCTGTATTCGGCCCTTCAAAAAGTGTGGTTGGTTCTGCACAAAGCCTTCATCACTATAATGACATATGTGTCTGGCTGTCGGTTCCTACAAACTGAGCTGCTTGACCCTCATAAGATGAGAAAGTTAAATATATATGATGGACTCTCCCGTCGTTATCAATGTATGAGTGTCTTTCAGTTCAGTTTTTATGTTTGTTTCATATGAGACAACAATCCTTCACAGGATTTGCAAACAATATATATTAGATTATGATTGAAACTACAAAAATAATTTTTTTTTTAATTTTCTGGCTGAAATTACTGGTTTTGATTGATTGATTAATTAATTAATTTTTTGTTTTGTTTTGTTTTTATGGTTTATCAACCTGTTGCAGGTTATTTAAATCCAGAACATTTTTGGGAGATAATGATTTTTTATACCAGTCCTACTATTTAACCCATAGCTGAGGGAGAAGCGGTGGATTCATAACTTTTGCAAAGATATTTGAGCATAAGTGAATATAACAAACCCAATTGATATCCAAACTTGCATCTCCAATTTCTCATTCTCCATTACACCAACTGCATATCCAAGTTTACAGCACATGGTATTCCCAAGAGGTCACTCATATAGGTACAGACCAGGCTTGGCATTGCTCAACTTCAGTGATCAAACAAGAACCTGTGTTTCAACGTGATATGGCCGTAAGCCTAAAATTACTTGGCAAGATAATATCAGGGAAAGGTGTCTGGAATTTTGGTTATCAGTGAAGATGCTTGTAAGAAAATAAGAAAAATTAAATGTTCAAAAGAAATAAAAAAAAAAATTCCATGGTTTTCAATCAGATCACAAAACAAAATTGGCTGCCAAATGTCACACACACATATATATATATATATATATATATATACACACACACACACAAGCATATTTCATTGAATAATATCGACATATGTCTATTTTTATAATGATCTTTTCCAGTTCTCTAATCAGTTTCTTGAAATTCATCAAGGAAGGCATCATAGTTGTTTTTTTTGTCCCCCCCCCCAAGTACTTTCAATCTCCTCCAAGATCATCTTCAGGGGGTGAATTACAAAGACAAACTTATTGTAAGTGTAATAAAATGTGCATCCCTTTGTGATGGTGATTTAAAAAGAAAAAACCAGGTGAATGCACTTTTATAGTTGTTTTAAATTTATCTGTGATAGCTATGGAATTTTTTGCAAAACAATATGCATATATACAGATATTTATAAGCAGTATTTATGAAAGGAGAACTCAAATTGATAGAGAAATAATAAAAACCAGATAAAAAATACAAAAAGTTCAATTTGCAACTTATGAGAGAAAGGGAGACAGACAGACAATAGTTTAATAGATTCTAATTCAATAGTCAAAATATCCATTCAAGAAGATGTCCTTAAAAGTCCTGCCTATATAATACCCAATAAAAAAAGAAATTTGTTCATACATGATGTAAACATGCCGTTTAAAATCAATTTACTTAAAAGGCATTTTTAGTAGACAATTTCTTTAGTGTCAATGTCTGAGTGTTGCAGTGTTTCATGCTGCATCTTGTAGAATTGAATTTGATAAACAAGAATAATTTTCTATCATTTGGATGTATCATTGCTCCACCTTTATTTATAAGATTAGCCAATTTGACTCCATACAAAAATCAGCAAAATATTTGCCGAGTGTCCATCAGATTCCAAGCTGCCTGCTGTAGAGGCGGGGAGGGGTATTGTGTATACAAGAGAGAATACATCACTTTCTCGTACAAGTATTTGACTCAACCCACTTCCCTAAATCTGAGCAAATATTAAAATTTTACTTTTTTCTTGAAGTATGTGTGTGTGTGTGTGTGTGTGTGTGTGTGTGATACAAACGTAAGTACACAATTATATAACCAAAATTCTTATGCCTTGATTTTTTTTTTTGCCATTGCTAAGCACAATTTTGAACATTGACTTGAAACAACATTTTTGTGTTTGTTGAATATAAAATAAAAGTTGCCACCCAAGGCTGCTCTGACTTAAGGATTTTGTTCCAAATAGGAAGAGAAGAAAAAGGTTGTTACTTTGATAACAATGCATAAATATTTGTTCTGATGTTAAGTGGGGCCCCTTGCAACTTCATTAAATATAGGCTCATGGCACCTCAGTATTTGATTAACAAACAAGCATCCTTAGAATATATATCTATCTTATTAGTGGTGGTGGTGCGGGCTGTTCTTTTTTTTCCTTTTGCTTTATCAACCCAGTTCTCTTGATAATAAAAATGTTGATATAATTTTTGCTAAGCTGATAAAGAGAAACTAGATTTTTTTACAATTTGCATCTAAAGTGATGTGGTCTATGTGCCTATGTCTAAATGACAATCAGAAAAAGAAAATCTCATGGAAATTTGAAGTATATCTTTATAATTTAGGAAGAGAAATTTATCCCTGTCCTTTAATAATATAGAGAAAAATCATTGTATGTCTTCCCCATATTAATTATTACTTTTAGTGCATGAAATATATGCAAATATGACTAGATAAAGATAATATACAGTTTTAAATGACTTAACTTCTATGAGGTGTCAGTTCATCATTACCTCCCTTGAACGTATTGAACTCTTCAAGCAAAAATTCATAAAATACTGAGTAATATTTAACAAGCTAACTTGTTCTCTTGGCCATGCCTGTCACCAAAATGAAAAATTCCTTATTAAAATGATTCCTAAAAACTATCTTTAAAATTTATATTAGAAAATATTTCAAATATACTTTTCCCCTCTTATTTATAAAAACTTGTTGGTCTCTAAACCAGTTTTGATGGTGAACCCCTCAGGAAAAATGACACCCTAGCATTGGGTTGTGAGACCAAAAAAAAAAAAAAAAAAAAGTCATAGTCACATGTAAGAAGTGTAGATCAATGGTGTAGTCCAATGGTTGTTGTTATAGACTTAGCTCTCAGACTAAGGTTCTGACTCTCCAACACATCCGTCAGTATTTATGACAGACACCAGCCAATCATATTCCAGTGAGGGGGAACACAGGTGTATGCATATTCCATTATATCACACTGATATATGAATGTGTGTATATGAATAGTCATACAATCAATGGGTCAGTTTGGCAAAACTAGTTTTCTAATTGACAATGTCTTATAAACAAAGAATTGGCAGTAGATATATAAATCGTTTGTTATGATAACATTTAACTTTGTTCCAAGTTTGTCATATGTGGCCATTTCTTGTTTATATATACAGGATCACTTTAAAAACCCATGTTAAATTTACAAAACTTTGATGGGAGTTTTATATTTAGATGAAAATCTTGGGAATACAGAATTGTATAATGATTTTCATTTTTCCAGTCTAAGCAAATAAGTTCAAGTGGATTCATTTTTTTTTTTTTTTTTTTATTTACAGAAATCCCAAAAAAAGTTATTTATTTTGATTTAAAAACCAAACTTATCAGGCCTATTTTTAGTGGATATCTTAACAATAATAGAAAAATATAAAGTACAATAATTGAACAAATATGAAATGTTTATAAATCTAACATTTCACTTTTATTAAAGCTTCATCAGAGAATAGGTTATGGAGAAAAAGAAAAAATTCTGGAATTTTTGTGTTTGTTTTTCATTGCTTAATCAGATTTCATGTGCATAATTTATGTGTGTAAGCATATAATTATAGTTTGTCTATGTGGAATTATAATGTGTGTGTGTCTCTCTCTCTCTCTCTAGTTGGCATTATTTATGCATGATAGTTGTCTGCATGTTAACTTGGGGATTAAAACAACAAAAAAAAAAAAACAATTGTGGTTGATAGACATACACTGGATTCTTTCAGAATGGATTTAATAAAGTAGACATTAAATTTATTTCTTTGACCTTTTTGCCTGTTGTTCAACCAGTGGAACATTTTAAAACCTGTTGTGCATTAATTTTCATTATTTTATCGATAATAAACATGGGAATACAATATGTTTTTACACTTTGTGTTAAAATACACTTACTGCTCATCTGGTATCAAAAAATGTTTTAAAACATGTTCCACTGAAACAATATATAAAATTATAAAACCTCACATTTGTACATGTGAGTGTGCATCATACACACACACTTTTTGGAAGACTATTTTTAGAAAATAACTCAAAACTTTATGTAAATCGACATTCAACAGTTATTAGTAAAAAAAGTAACAAATATTTAAAGTCAATTGAAGCAAAGAATTTATAACCAAATTTCCTCTTTAGTACAGTCTTTTGTAAAGCAGGATTTAATTAATATTTAATTGATTTAATTATTAATATATAGCTTCCAGAGTCAAAAATTCACAACTAATATATATATATATATATATATATATATATATAACTTCCTCTCACACATTACATTCACTAAAATGAATCTAAGAAATTCTAACCAATTTCATTGTTGCCAGATTCGACAATATTAATTACATTTTACAATTCAGATTAAATGTTTTGCTGCACATCATTTCAAATTTAACCATCTTTTACTGCAATAGATTTAATATTCAATTTTGAATGAATAAGTAAAAATTTAATTATCAATTCAAAATAGCAACAATTTTACCTTTTTCTTAAAAATAAAATATTATAAAAAAAATCATTTTTAACATAAAAACTCAATTATTAAAAAGGAATATTTAAAAAAAGTTTTTTGATTATAAAAAAAAAAAAAAAAAAAAAAAAAAATCACTATGCATTTTTATGGAAAATAATTATCACAATTTCTATTACAGTCCCAAGAAGTAAGAACAAATTTATTGCAAATAACAAATTACTAAATTGATATTGTCTGAAATGAACCATTCTTCAAATTGGCCAGATTAGATTTTCATCTTTGTTAATTTATTACAGTGTTGGTTGGTGCAATTTGGACCTTCCTTAAGGATATCATTTACAGAGGAATTTTATAAGAAAGATAATGAAGACATACAATTCAATTGAGTAAGATCCCTTAAATACACTAATTCTTCAATTCAACAATTTCTCATATTGCAATAGTTGATCCTAAAAAAAGGGACTAAACTCAGTAAAATCCAAAAATACTCATATTAATCTTGCCTATTCTTTTAAACTGAAGCCACTAAACTTTAACAAGAGTATTCTATACTGAAAGTCTGACCAAGAAAAAATTAAAAAATAATTTTTTTTTTTTTTTACATTTGGTCAGATTTTAGAAAGCAAGTTGGGTAAAAAAACTTTTCAGTAACTCTTCATAAGGTAGAATTAGTGGTAAATTTTTTTACTTAGTAGTTGAGACTATAAATCTGGCCTTATGCCAAAAGAAACATTATTCAGAAAATATTTATATAGGAAAAAATGGTATGGGTACTAATTCTTTGAGTAGCTTGAACCCTTTACTACAAATATAAAAGTTATAAGATTATTTTTGACATTATAATTAGGAAGGTTAGAAATATGTATTTCAAGAGGTTTTTATCTGATTAGATTTTATTAAAATTAATTTGATAAAGTTGACCAAATTGTCTTTTGCTAATTTTTTCTTTAAATAGTTTAACCAATAGAATTCATATTTGTTAAGTTTTTACTTACATCATTTCTGTTATCATATTCTGAAGAATTTTTTTTGCAAAAGCAACAAAGTGAAAGAAAAAAATTAAATGACTTATTGTTCTTTAACTTTAAAATGCAAACAATTTTATCCAATAGAAAGTCATCATTCCATTATTTTTTGTTTTTAGACATCAAAAAAAGGAAAGTTGATGGTACTAAAAATGAATTTGTTATTTTTTTAGTTTTTGATACGTAATATAAATATAGGAATTTAAAAAAAAAAAAAAAAAAACAGACAACCTTTACATTTTGCACTTTTAAAACATTTCAATAAAATGAAATAAACCAAATTAGTAAATGAAGTGTTAATCAAATTCAATATTTTTCAGTCAAAGACAAAAGAAACTTAATTTTTCTGGAAGGCAAGAAGTAATGTTTGTTGTGAGAAAAAAAAAAATGAAGAAAAGCAAACCTAAAACTATGTTTGTGAAATTTCAAATTTAATAAACGAAAGGAAAGTGATAGTTTTAAAGCTACTTTTTAAAAAGTTTTTTCATTACTTATGCAAATTTTTTTAAATTAAAAATAACTTGTTTTTCAATAAAAACTCGGCATCCAATTTTAATTCAAGAATTTATTTTTCTCTTCAAATTTCTGTGAAAATTGTAAAGTTCACTTGTTTTACCTGAACATACATAAATAAAAAGATAACATACAAGTAATAAAGTTATTTTACAAGTATGTGCATATACACTTACATATCCTCCTACACACAATTGCAGACATGCATATATACACTCATGCAACCAGAAATTCAATATCATTTATTCTTTTCTCATACATACAAATTCATGTACAGAAACACACTTTTTAATAATATGGGTGGGCATGCATGCATGTATATATATATATATATATATATATATATATATATATATATATATATATATATATACACACAAAAACTTCATAAAGTAAGTACAAAAAAAAAAAAAATAAAAATAAGCTTTATGTACTGAAATAAATAAAGGTAAAAAGATTACGATTTTTTGAAATCTTTATTTAACCCACTGTATATAAAAAAAAAAAAAAAAGGAAAATAATTGTGAATAGTTTGGATGTAGTAAATTTCCACCCACAAGACAGATTTAGCTTTTTTGTTCACTGAAATTTATATAAGGTGTCTAAATAAAAAGACAAAGAAAATTTTTGCTTTAAATTTTAAAATAATTTTGTTTGTACAGTGGATTAAAAAGTATTCCTACTTGAAATACTCTATTAAAGCAAAACAAAACCAGCATTTTTATCATCTTAAAAAAAAAAAAAGTTTGCAGGTACCCCCCCCTTCCAAGGTAAAGTATTATGCAGTAGCCTGGAACGTTCAACGTTCCACATTTTATTTTGAAAAATATAGCAAAACATTTTTATAGCAATGTAAAGGATGTTTTCTTCAAATAAAATAAAATGAATCAAAAACAGAATAAAAATTTAAAAAAAAAAAAAAAAAAAAAAAAAAAAATGAAATACAACAATTTGAAAAATAAAGAAAAAAATATCAGATTCAACAAAACCTTCAATTATTTCCACATGCCACACTTCATTGTTAATATATTAGGTATTTAATTATATTCTTGTAGTCAATATTAAAAATGAATATTGGTACCGAGGCCAGCGGCAACCAGTTGTTTGTCCAAAGAGATCATTTTTTTTGAAGTTCTAACTTTACAAGATCAACCATTTTATATTTTCATATCCTGTCTTATAGTAATTGTGATATTTATAAGCATTGAATTCTAAATGGACAGAGACAGGATTTTAAGAGATGGCCAATAAATCAACAGCAACACTTCAGTTTGATAAAAGTTTCATCTCATCATACAAATATCTTTTCTATTCACTGCATTTATGTTTTTAAAACATCAGATTCTTTAATTGATTTCCTCATCTTAACCACCCCCCAAAAAAAACTATGAAAATAACTACAAGTGATGCTTATTATGACTAAAATTATGGTACATTTTATCTACCGTTCAAACCTTTCTAAAGAATTTATAAATTTTTCAATGGATATCATTGAACAATTTTGTGAGGTTATAAAATGGTGATAAACATTTTCAAATTTCTTGGCCATTATAATTTACTTAACCTAATATGTATTTTTTAAAATGATCTTATTGGTTATTTTTAAACATGACTATAGAACAAAACCCCCACCCCACAAAAAAAAGGTGGTGGGAGTATTAACAGAAGAGAGTCTTGCAAAAATTGGGTGCTGAATATTTTTGTTATTTTTTATCATTTTGAAACGGTTAAAAGTTCATTTCTTTAATGGATATTTAAGTCTAACCATTTTTGTGAAATTTCCCTGATAAAAATTTAAGCAAAAGAGAAAGTCATTTTTACATCAAAATTCATCTTTTGCTAAACAAGAAACAACACTTTTTTTTTTCACCCATAATAATTTTGCTTTCCACACACAGTGTGAATATCTCAAGGAAGAAATATATATATATATATATATATCTTTCAATGTATAAACATGCTTTTCATCTGTTTATAATACAAAAGATGTGTGTGTGTGTGTGCTATAAATTATACACACATTTTTGTAGATTAAATTGAAAGGTAAGTTTAAGAATAGTCATCCAATTTTAAATTCTCACTGGTTGTTTTAATGTTAGAGAAAAAGAAGAAAAAAGAGAAAAAGAAGAAAAAAGAGAAAAAGAAGAAAAAAGAGAAAAAGAAGAAAAAAGAGAAAAAGAAGAAAAAAGAGAAAAAGAAGAAAAAAGAGAAAAAGAAGAAAAAAGAAAAAGAAAAAAAGAAAAAGAAAAAAGAAGAAAAGAAAAAAAAAAAAAGAGAAAAAGAAGAAAAAAGAGAAAAAGAAGAAAAAAGAGAAAAAGAAGAAAAAAGAGAAAAAGAAGAAAAAAGAGATAACAGAGAGAGAGAGAGGAGAGATAACAGACAGAGAGAGGAGAGATAACAGACAGAGAGAGGAGAGATAACAGACAGAGATGAGAGATCAAAGAGAAAAAGAAAGAAAGAAAAAGAAAAGTTTTATACTTGCAAGTGGTTCGTATTTTTCATTTGATTGTATAACATTTTTTTCTTTCCACTGATTTTAGAAATTTTGATTTAGATTTTTCCAAAGATTTCTTGTTATTTCAATGGGTGAGTTTGTTTTTTCTTCTCTTTTCCATCCGTAAAATAGTTTCATCAGATGAAAACAAGAAAAGATAAGAATGAGGCAATCATTCAGATTTGGAAATGATTGCCTTCTAAGCTTTTAACTTATATTCAACAGAAATGTTTTAAAAGAAAAAATTTCTTTTTTTCTATGAAGCCTTAAAATCCAGGTCATCTGACAGAATGCTTATATTTCTGAAAGACCAGCTGAAGAAATAGTTTAAGGAATTATATAATTAATAAATAAATACGGTATTTATTTTAGAAATACAAGCAAAACTTAGCAGACTTTGTTGAAGAAGAATCGACATGAGAAAATAATTGAAATGACAAAATAAAAAAAAAAATAGACAAAAAAAAACTCGTAGTTCAACTACATAGAACTACATATAGAATTAAATGTGTATTTTTTGGTGCTTGGCAAAATTTTGTGTTCTAACAAGACCTTTTTTTTTTTTAAATAAATTCACTAAAGCAGGGATTGGAGTAAGTTGTTAATTGTTAACTTGAGTCCCTCATGTACACCACTCATAAAGCAACCTTCGAGAGAAATACAGAATAAGCACAAAGGGAGAAAATGTCAACTTTTAAAAAGTGGGGGAGAAAAAAATCCTATACAGACATTAGCATCCACTATATTTCATATATATATATATATATATATATATATATATATATATATATATATATATATATATCTGTGCATGTAAACATACAGATATTTATATACAGAGTGTCATATAATGAATCTATCAGGACAGAAATATAGAAACTTTTTTGTTTGATGTTGCTAGTTTCCTTTTGGGAACCTTATAAATTAAAGATCTCAAAATTCAACTGCCCAAAAATACACGTTCTGGGTAAGATGTTTTTTTTTTTTTTTCAAAATTCTGAAGAGAATTTGAAAAAAAAAAAAAATAAATTTGTTTTTTTTCTCTCCATTGTTCTCGTTTTGGAAGTTTGGTGATTGTAATAAGAATGGGGAATCATAATGGAAGATGAAGTCATTGATTTCATCTTTTTCAAGTTATTTAATAGAAACCATTTTATTGGCATGTCTACCCAGTAAGTATAAAATGTAAATATTGTTAAACTGTAGATAAATCCATTCACAGATTTTGTCCATTACAACATGTTTCCAACTCCACATTCAACTTAAAAAAAAAAAAAAAAAAATTGCTCCATGGAAAAGATAGAAACAAAATAGCTGTCACACACACAAAGCAATTTTTTTTTTCAAACATTTGCCAATTTATGGTAAAGTGCATTATTTTCTCTCCTTTTTTGTTATTGACCATTATTTGACTGGCTTCAGAATTTCATTTTGGCATCATATATATATATTTTTTTTTTTTTTTTTTTAGGAAATGTTTTTGGATTTTCTCCCCATATTGTTGCTTTAGCAATTGGGTTAGTAGTAGCAGTCGTAATCATTTTTGGTGGTTTTGGTCAGTCGTGGGCCAGAGAGATGATGCAGGCAAACGAATCATGTGTAGGCATCAAATTCATCCATTTCATAGAAGTCTGTTGTCTCCATGGGTTCCCTCACAGGTGGAATAGGATCACTGGAACGAGCCTCAAAGAATTCCACGACAATAGGACTGCTGGACATCTGTAAAATGGAGGGAAAGTGATTAGTGAGGCCAAGTCATCTAACCACATAAAAAGGAAAAAAGATGACAATGTTTACAAGATTCATGCAATGATTGATGGTTCTTGAAATTGATAAAATATGATTTTTCTTAAGTTGCTTCTTGTAAATCTGCAATTAAAACAAACATGATCAACAGCATCTTACATTATTTTGTTTAGAGAGCTCCTAAGAACTGTCAGTAATCCCTATTTTCAAACATAGGACTACACACTAAGTACATCAGCATCAAGATTGTTCATTTGATACGTTTACAGTTGATAGAAAGTTTACGTATACTTTTTCACTGCATACTAGACAAAGTCATAAATAATTTCCATTTTTTGCTTGTCAACTTTATCCTTCAAAAAATAAAATTTTATACTTTAATTATGTATTCACCAACATTTGACTGGTCACCAGTTACCAGATAGATTTTTGATACCTACAAAGTAAAATTCCAGAGGTTTTGATGTAAAAAAAAATTTGACAAAATCTTGAATCTGGTCTTCAATTCAAGTAAGTTTTCCCCATCAATGTGTTTTGGCAGAGTTTGAAAAAAGGGTAATCGATTGGTGCAATGTCAGGTGAATATAGCAGGTTGGATAAAACAAACCAATAGAGTTCCAAAATTGTTTCTAGTGTCATTCTTGTATACAGCTTTACATTGTCATGGAGGTGAACATCACTTTTCCTATTAATGATCACAGGGAACTTTTTGATCAAACTCATGGACACGTTGCAGTTGCTGGGCACATAAATGTGCATTTAGCATTTCACTGTTACTCTCAGAACTCTAAATAATACACTGATGATCTGACTACACACACAACATTACCTTCAATAGATCTCATCTTTTGAGGCAAGAATTGAAGATTTCTCCTTGCCAATCCACTGCCTTTTTGACATTGTCGTATGTTAGTTTACTCCAAATGTATTCTTGTATTAATGATTAGCTGTTAGGATGATACATTCATCCTTATAATAGGTTGACATGAACAGAAATTACTTATGACTTAATATAATATTTTTGCTGACCCATTGTTCCTCTCTTGTACTGAAGTCAATAGATGACTGTGTTTATTAATATATATTAATGATGCCACGTTGAAATTAATTCTTAATGCTGAATCAAAATTTAGTGAAACTGAAATGCATTTTTTTTTTTTTTTTTTAAATCAATTCAACCCCAAGCAAAGCAATAATGCCACTAAGGTTCAATGGGTTACTGGCAGTGAAAGATCATAAGACTTTAGAAGAAACAAGAAATCCAATCCTGAACAAGAAGCTAATTGTAGTGATACAAATTTCAGAATGGAACTATTATCAGCTTTTTCTATAGTGAGCTAATGAGATCAATAAGTGTCTTCTGGTGAAGAGATTCAATATTCCAAACTCTCAATATAAATTTTGTAATTAAAAGAAATTTAGAAAATTAATTTCTTTTATATTTTATACATTAACCCATTAATAACCACAGCAAAATCCAGTACAAATTATAGAAATCTGGTATTAATTATCAGTTTTTTTAAAAAGGAAGAGAAAAATAAACAAAAATAAACAAAAAAAAAAAAAAAAAAAAACAAAAAAAACAAACATTAATTCATAGTTTCCATTAATAACCCATTAATCTCATCCATCCCAATTTTAAGACTGTTTGGATTAATAGGTTAATAACAAAAATATATTTTCAACCGATAAGCTTATTCTAAATTATAAGATGTTCAGCTATGTGTAGTCTAGAATTTATCTCCTAAGTAATAAAATATTTTGCATTGCGGTATTTTTTTTTAACCATTCTTTACAGCAAGAACTAAGGTTTTACATTTTTTAGATAATTATGAAAGGAATTCTGGGTGTAACATCTACATTTTCTGAAAGTCATAAAACTTGCACTTAAGTCATTTTAAATTTTTGAATATCAATAAAATTAGCAAATTATATCTGCACTTTGAACACTTCCTGGTCACACTTGGGCAAAGTATAGCATCTGATTGTATCTCTTTGCTTTGCCAGCAGTAGTACTGCTGAATTTTGAATGTTGATAAATTGGTAGCAGGAAAGGCGTGTCTGTTAGCAAAACATCTTTTACAGATCAAAAGGATGCCTGAAGAAGTTCTTGATATGACAGACAAGAGTCAATTATTAAATGGAAAGAACAGACAGAAAATAGTTCTTATTTCACGCATACAATAAAGATTTTTTTTTCTTTTGTTCATTTTTCAATAGAAATAGTAAGAGGAATATTAACCATTTCTTTATCAGGAAACATTTGGCATTCATTGAATGAGCAGCTGGTGCTGTTTTTGGATGAAATTTATAAAATCTTTCTACTAAAACAATTTTTCAAGAAAATAGGCTTCTTAAATGTACTAACTTCTCACTCTTTCCAGTATTAAGGGGAGGGGTTTCCTTCCTAACCTTTTGCTTGTAGCAGTGTGGAACGTTAACATCTTGATTATATCATTTTCTTTTAGAGTTACATGTACTATCCATTTTAGTTGTTACTGTTGTGAAAATTCCTCAAGTGATGTGGTTTCTGTTATTTGGTACAGTTCTGTGATTCCATAGCACCAGTCCACAAGTTTAGAAGAAAGATGGTCTTCACCGACACTTACAGGTTTTCATTTGCTCAAAGCCATTTTTATTCGTTGATCTTTGGAAGCAGTTGTATACAGCTAATAGTTTAGATATTCCTGAATGGTTTTTGATGCCATCCATGATATCCATATGAAAGACTCAACCTGATGAGATTATTTAAGAACATGACTGGAGTTCTTAGGCTCATATTTTGGTTTTGTAGCATCTTGCAATGTTGGGCAAAATGACTCCCAGTGCCACCGATTCTGTGTTTAATTTCCTAATCTCCTATACTAAATTTGTTATAACTTGTGGCGAATAAAGAAAACAGCAACCAGTGAGTAAATTCAAGCTCTCCCAGCTGGTATTTCAACCTCGAGTCGTTCCTTCTTGAGTTCTGTCTCAAAATCGCACTAACATCTTTTCTAGCCGCCAACCGTGAACGTCACTCAAAGAACTCCCTGCACTGGGAAAAATAGTTGCTTTTATATTTGTCCATATACCCATAATCCCTTGCGTCTTCATGTGATCCCATAATGCATTGCATCTTTATTGCATAAAGATGCAATGCAAGTCCCTCCTCATTCTTTTACGTTATCTGGCCGAGGACGGATTACGGCAGAGCGATAAGTGCTTTTTTCTCCCTCATTTCAACTGCAGTAGCTTTTACATGCTAAGCAAGTACGGGCTCTTTTTTGGCGGGGACAAGGCAAGTCGCGACCAGTTGTGATCGTCCCAGGTTCTGTCTCATGTCTGCCACATAACTGGTCCATACAAAGGGTATATGAAGTGTTTAGTATTTACTAATTCCATGTCCTGAATTGTAGAATCATTGAAAGAAAGTGAAAAGAAAGGACTAAACATAAATTGTAAGAAGATAGATGGTATGGTTGTCAGCAAAAGAGACAAACCAAGATGCGAATAGAAAAGGAAAGTGTGCTGAACTGTTATGTAATATCGGTTCTCTTATATGGCAGTGAATGATGGACAGTCTCCTGACAGATGAAGAAAAAACAGACCAACAGAAATGTAGCTCTACAGCAGGAAAACTACAAAAACTCCTTCAGAAGGTAGTGAATGAAAATGAGAAGAAAGGATTAAACATCAACTGCAAGAAGATAGAATCCATGATTGATAGCAAAAGGATGAACCCAAAGTGCAAACTAAAAATTGAAGATACCAAAATCAAACAAGTGCCGATATTTAAATATCTAAAAAGTGTTTTAGCAGAAAATGGAAAGTATGACATTGAAATCTGAAGGCACGTTGGGATAGCGAAAGATGCCTTCCAAAAGCAAAGCAAAGTGTTAAGAAACAGGAAAATTTTGTTAGAAATGTGGTTCTACTGAAGGATGCTGAGAATGCTATGGACCAAAAAAGTGAGTAACATACAAAGTTTTAGAGAAAATAGAAACAAAAAGGACACTTGTACTTAGAATCAGAAAGAGTTGAAATTTCTAGGGGACATGAGAAAAGAGGGCTTGGAAAATTTAACACTGACAGGATATATTAAAGGCAATAGAGACAAAGGAATGCAGTACATAACCTACCTAATAATCTTGTGTAAATGGATTAGGAGAGATAGTAAAAAGACAAAAACAATGCCAAGAGCTACAAGGGACAGGAAGTTGTGGAGACCCATAAAGTAACACATCCTCAGAGAATATGGCACATAGAAGACAAAAAAAAAAAAAAAAAAAATGATATGATATCCCCAGGCATGGAGAGTAGAACAAGAACAATCTGCTTCTATAGATTAAATAAAGTGTTCAATTTGAAATTCTTTGAAGGTTACCCAGACAGACTGACATCAGAAGAGGGGGACAAGGCATAAAATGATGTGATTATAAAGATGAGGACGTTAGTCCAATTGTAAAGAAATGTTTATTATTATATACAATATCAGATATTATGAAACAAGTCAAGGTTTTAATAAAATTGATATTAACCAATTGATCTTCATTAAACTTTCAAGATATATGTTACAGATAGAAGGTAAAATTCAAATGATATATCTGTCTTTATTAAAAAAAAATATTGATATCTTGAGGTGGGGCAGGTTTTATGCAAATTAAGTGAAAATTTGAATATTTATAAAGTCAAAAGGTATAAGCCGCAGAAACATTCTATATACATGAATATTTTTTTTTAAATTTTGACATTTTATAACATTCAATAATGTTTTATTTTTATTATTTCCTTTAAGATTACTTGCAACACATCATCACTTCCCAAAGAGCTGCTTTGTTTGAATAGTTTTCATTCTCAGACATTTTTTTTTTTTTAAAAGATGGATCACAAGTTTTCTATTGGATTAATTTCTAGAGTTTAGGGAAATTCTATTAATTTTTTTAAATGTTTTTAGCAAGGTGGGCAATAGCCAAGTTTCCATTGCAAAACTT